AATCTGTCTATTCCCTTTGTTCCCGTGAGATTTACCAAGGCAGCTTACCTAGCCTGAACCCTTCATGTCCTGACCCTCTCCTCTGCACACACAGACCACAGTATATGTGCTGGGGCTTCTGGAGCTTATCTTGCAATGAGGGTGGGGCTGATGTCCCTCTACGACTTCTGAACAAATGGTTTCTCTTTTCAATGGGAAAGTGAGTCATAATTTTTTAATCAAATAACTCTTTGCGATAGCTGATTTATTTTTAAATGTCTGCCGATGTTTTCATTGCACCTAGACTCTTAAAAACCCCTTGAAGTGTGCTCATGACGCCTTAGCAGGCAGGAAATTACATCTTTTGGGGCCAGAGACCTATCCTCAGAGCTCTGTACTGGAGAGATCGCCATGGCAACCATGTCCAGCCTTTGGGCAGTGTGGCAGATGGGGAAGAGGATGACTCAGACACTGCAGAACAACACTTAGCATGGTTAAGACCAGGAATATGGCTTTATGCAATGTGTCAGGAAGGCCCCTGGTGAGGAAAAGCCTAGTAAAACAGTCTCAGAGTCATGGATCTGGGTCCCAGGATGCAGAAAATGAGGCAGTGGGGGTCCACACTATATATATGTTAGGAGTCCGTGTCTGGGCTCGTAGTATGTGTCTGTATGGAGAGTGAAGATTTCCTGTAGACATTCTCCCACCTCACTTGGGTCATGGTTCATATGGGGAAGTCAGGACCAGTGCCTGGCCAGAATGGTGGTTTTGATGGCTGGGGTATGCATTAGATTATAAGAATACTCAATATTTTCATCAGAGATATTCAAACTGCTAGCCTGGAAATCTGTGAGGTTGTCACTGCCATGCTTAAGCCTAATACTTGGAATTGTCAGCTGACTTCATATTTCATGTATGCAACTGGGTCCGTTTGTCGTGTGGCAGGTAGAATATTCTCCACAACTAAGAACATGTTCTCAAGCCCTTGGCAACACTTCCCTCTCCCTCACCCTGATACTCTCCTCCCTGTCTCTAGGCAAACACAGATATGCTTTCGGGAAATGAGAGCTTCTTCGTATTTTCTGGGATTGTGCACAAATGCTGATTGTCAAATCCCCACCTAGACACACATGACATGGTATGGGCCTTTTGAAGCATCTGGCTTCTTTCAATCCTAATAGCAATTACTTTTGAGATTCTCTTATTCTGCTGTCTTGGCTAAGGTTCTGTCTGCTTTCTTTGCTGTCTAGTGTTTTCCTGCTTAGTTACACAGCAGTTTGTTTATGTGCTCAGCTTCTGATGGACATTTGGAAGTTTCTAATTTATGGCTACTATCAATCATGCTCTTTTGCTCTTTGGTCTAAAAGGTTTATTTGATTTGTATTTGTGTATTCAACCGTTCAGAGACCTGCAGGATAGTATGTGATTGGTTATATTTGTGGTTTGACAGTTGGTCTGGGAGGAGGGAACTAAAGAATTAGAGTATGGAAATAGCAGATGGCCTTGGATATTAAAGTTACCAAGGCCAGATAAGTAAAATGTAAAAAAGACACCTATAAACAAATATTTTTATAGCATTTGTGTATAAATTCAACACAATTCTAGTCACTCAAATTTATTAGTATAATTGAATTGTATACTATAACAAAGTAGAAATTCTTCCTATAACTGACAGTGACACAAGATATGAAATTCATGTGTGGAGCGATGGCTTCCTGTCTTTCAGAGAGCAGAAATGTATTGCCTATCACCCACATGGCATCAATGACCTGCCTGTAATTCCAGTTCCGGTAGTTCCAGCATCCTCATTTGTTCTTCACAGTCTCCTGCAGGCACACAGTACAAATAAGCTCTTAGGCTCACACACATACACATAAATAACAAATAATTTTTTAAAATATTATGTCAGTAATATGGATATCTGATGAAAACTACTGTGTCTAAATTGGAGAAAATGGCAGAAATATTAAAAATTGTAATACACTAGTGCAGAATCTCATGAACTAATATGGAATCCCATGAAAAAAAATAGGGAAAGGTAAACTATAATGGCAAATTATTATACATACAACATGGAAAAGTCATAGGGGATCCAATTTTGAATGGTCCCTAAATATTTATGAGTTTCACCTTGTACAATTCACCTAGGTTCTCACTAAAAATCAGTGGGAAATTACCTCATTGTTTAGGCCTGAGTAAAAGGATAGTCCCCATTTTAAAGTCTACTTCATGTAGTTTGTCATAAAAGTTCTAACTTCAGAAAATCTATGTAACCAAATACTAACCTACTAGCATTTTCCCAGATTCTGATCTCGGAGAAGGGAATAATCAATTCCAACTCATTCTATTTTATCTATTTTTTAAAATACATAATTCTTTCCCCATGATCAGATATAAAACCACAGATTGTACAAGCTCAAAGAAAACTGAACAAAACAAATGCTAAACAAATGCTGAACAAAACAAAAATTTCCGTATAAGACTCTCATTTTCAAATCAATAAAGATCAATGAGATCAGGCATGATGGCTTAATGGTTAAAGACGTTTTCCCTATGAGTCTCATGACTTGAGTTATATCCGTGGGATCCTGGTAAAAGTGGATGGAGGGAATTGACTCCACAAAGTTGTTCTCTATCCTCCACATGCACACCATAATTGTGTGTCTACATGTATCCATCATATTCCCTTTCACACTAATAAAACCTAATCAGTGATATCCAGTAGAAGACACATTTTTAAGATTTTTTAAATTATATTTTATGTGTATGGGTATGTTGTATGTATGTCTGTGTATCATGTGTGTATCTGGTGTAGTAGGAGGCTGCTCTTTTTGTTTCCTGGCTGCTATGACCCAACTAATAACATAGAAACTGTATTAATTACAACACTGATTGGCCTATTAGCTCAGGCTTCTTATTAACTAACTCTTGCATCTTAAATTAACCCATTCCCATCATTTTGTATTTTACCACGAGGTTCATGGTTTACTGGTAAGGTTCTGGGGCAGGTATCTTTCTCCTTCAGCATCTGCATGACATCTCTTCTGACTCTGCCTACTCTCTTTCTGCATCTCTGTTCAGATTTTCAGACTGACTTTACTCTGTTAATTCATTGGCCGAAAGCAGCTTCTTTATTCACCAATAGCAATAAGACATAATCACAGCATACATCCCACATCACCTACCCTTTTTTGTCTAAATAAAAGGAAGCTTTTAACTTTAACATAGCAAGATTACATACAACAAAATAGTTATCAAGCAAAAATTATAGTTAAAATGTTTAGTTCATTTACATTTGGTAAACTAAGGAAAATACTCTCTCATCTATCCTATTTTTTGTGAGTCTAAAGTTTTATATCTAATTTATCTTTTATATTTATAGCTATTTTTTTCTACTCCATTGAAGACTCCAGAAGGATATAATATTACCTAAGTAAATAGGAAGTGCATTTTAAGCAACTTCCAAAACTCTAGAATTGACAGAGACATCTCGCTATCTGGACAGTCACCTAAAGTTCTTCTGTAACATTACAGCATCCATTTTCAGCCTATAGGCCCATAGTATCTGGCAGACTTTTCCATGAAGCATGAAATTTGAAGATCTCTTATGCCTTGTATTGTCAAAGTTCATCAGTTGCTTTCTTCTGTGTCTGCAAAATGTCTGGCAGTTTCTTCCATGAAACAGGAACCATGAAGGACTGTCTGACCTTTAGGCAAGTACAGCAGTCACTTTTCTGTAGGTCTTGCATGTCCAGTTCGTACAGCATACAATAAAGCAGTCCAGGCAAGAACAGTTTCTTGCCAAAATGGCCAACAAACTCCATAAGGAGCCTCTTCAATGTCCATCATCCTCTTGAAGTAGATTGGTGCTGCCAGAAGCAGATGTGTCTCACTGTCATGAAAAGTCCTAAGTTCTTAAAACATTTTAAATGTCATATTCTGTAAGTCTTTGAAGGGTTTGAAGGATACCTCTCCATCTGAAATAGATCTCTGTACATCTTGAAAACCTAACATGACTACAAGTTTGACTATTATAGATAATTATCTATTAAACTATATTTCTTAACTATATATTACATTTTTAAATGAGCTGCACAAACACAATACCCAAACAAGAGCAGAATATACATATAACAAAATTGACCTTAAATCTGTATCAAATAGACCAAGATCCATACCAATGCAACATATTCATCTCTATAGCATATCCTCCTTTAAATGCAAACAAACATTTATTAATAATCATTTAGGGAATCTGAGCATTGTTCTCTAGACTACTTTCTGCTGATTGAGGGCACTGTTGATCAGGTCTTTCATGGGGTATCTTGTGTGGTAGATCCATCTCAGCCAGAAGTCCTGAGGTTGTTATGATGTTGGACCATCTGGACCTTTGCTTCAGGGGTCTTCTTTATTCACCAATGACAATAAAACATAATCACAGCATATAGAGGGGAATCCCATATCGTGTCTGGTGCCCTCAAAGTTCAGAAGACAGTGTTGGATTATCTGGAACTGAAGTTCAGATGAGTGTGAGACTACATGTAGGTGCTGGGAACTGAACCCAGGTCCTGCAGAAGAGCAGCCAGTAATATTAACTGTTGAGTCATCTCTATTGTCCTGAAAACACATTATTAACTATATTCTGTATGATGTACATTAGCTACCTAAAGTTTTTGATCCCATATAAAAAATGTAGCCTTTTGTAGGATACATGTAGGATTCATGTATCCTCATATTTTCCCCATGACCCTAGTAAGTTTTTCCCTGCCTATGTTTTGGTGCATTTGATTCTTTTTAAATCAGAAGCCATGTTCTTACCATAAGAATGTTAATTTTTTTGAACTATGTGAGATGATAAATATATTAATTGGCTTCATTGAAAATCCGTTTGAATATATGTATTCATACATGCATGTATGTATCAAACATTATATGGTACAACTTAAATATATAAAATAAGAAAAATAAAAGATGATCTGAAACTGTGAGTCAAATAAAATCTTTTACTTCATTAAATTGATCATATCAAATACTTTTGGTACAGTGATAGGAAACTAATTAACATGCTATATATCTGACAAAGAGTTAATAAAAATACATTTACAAACTTAATAATAGTCATGTTGGTGAGACACCATAGGTATAACTTCTGACATTCCTAGGAAACACAGTCTTAAAAAAACTCCAAGATCCACTAGCTCTTATACTCTTTCTGCCCTTTCTTCTACAATGAACCCTCAGCCTTATTCACAGGAGTTTATTGTATATGTATTTGTTGGAACAAACCTCCACAACTCTGTTTTGATCGGTTGTGTTTTTTTTTGTAATAGTCTATGTCTGCTATGTAATAGTCTATTCTCTGCAAAGAGAAGTTTCTTTGATGGGGGATGAAGGCTACATACCCATAAAAGTCTCACCAAAATGACCATCTATTCATGAGCTAAACAAGGACAGCAACAGTGTACATGCTAAAGTGGATGGGGAAAGCCAGGAGGTCTCAACACTACACAAAGAACTACAGGCAACTAAAGAATGCTGACAATGGAAGAAACAGTCCTACCTGGGGAGAACACACCAACTGGTTATCCAATACCAATTGGTCAGGCCTGAAAACATAAAGAAAAGTAAAATTATACAGACTAAGCAGGTTTTGTGTGTGTGTGTGTGTGTGTGTGCACATGCACGTACACACATGTATGTGTACATGTAACAACAGTTAATGAGAAAAGAGGCCATGAATTAGAAAAAACTCAAGGAATGAATCTAAAATTTATATGGAAATTAAAATGGCTGAGAATAGAGATTATAATAGTAATGAAAGAGAATTGGTAATGAAAGAACTTTCCAACAGAGAAAAAAAATCCCAATAAAGGAAAGATACTATATATAGGGTTACTAGAAAATCTGCCAAATAACAACAGAGAGCAGTATATCTCAAGCTCTTTCCAAAAAATTAAAGAGAAAACAATTCTCTAATTTATTATGAATCAAGTATCAGTAAGTTCTCCTACTTTTATATAGCCTTGATGTAAATTGTACTTTGAAAAAGCTCAATATCAAGAGTGAAACAGATTACAATATTCTATACCCTTCCAGTTCTCAGTGTGATTGATTCATATACCTGCTTTGTACAGCTAT